AAACAATATCCCAAAATGAACGCGCGTTTACCAAACCAACATCTACAACTTCACAAAAACACCATTTGTTCACTTATATAATAAACGCACGTTTCATTAACAAATATTACGACATTGCTACTAATTCAATCTAATCCGTTGATTKGAAATTTTAATGGATGAGATTTTTGACAAAGTTTTCAATATATGTTTGGTTAACAAATGAAGGGACCTCTCTTTTCTCTCTCTCTCTCTCTCTCTCTCTCTCTCTTTATATATATATATATATATATATATATATACTACTTTATAAACCAGATTTATCAAAAGTCTTAAAAACAATTTTTAATGCACAAAGTCTTAAAAACAACTCATAATGCATAAAATACTACTACTTTATGCATTCAATCTTAAAATATCTTAATTTACCGTTAAAATAATATATAGTACAAGTTACTAATGCACGTTATTACATTTTCTTTTCATGTTCCAAAGATACTTTTGACACTTTTCACTCATGTCTTCACTTTCTCATACCTTTATGTCTTATCTCTATCCCCCAAGGCGAGATTCAAACTGATATTCACCATTCATCTCCCATTCAATTGCTCTAGAACTCTTGGTATCACTCTCGATCTCTTGATTCTTTGCTCTTGGTGTAAATCGAACACGTTTGTGGAGTCGTTTAAATATGTTTGATTTTAAATATATTGGATTTTAAACTGTCATACAATTTTTTTCATTGATAGACTGTAATTGGAACCATATAAATTGTATTAATATGTAAAGACCAAGTGCAACTTATATCATCGTTAAATCTTCTCTAAAAACACCAATAAAACTTCAAAATCGTTAAAATTCACAACTCCCGTCGCATTACACGGATACACAACTAGTATATATAATATATATATATATATATATATATATATTGAGTTGTTCATACAAGAACATTAATTAAATAAGAGAACAAAGAAACAATCGAATCACATGTGATTTTACACTAAGATCATGTGTAAAATCACATATGATTCACACGACGCTGCTCGTACACTCTTACGTTGACCGTAAATGTAAAATATCCTGTTATTTTTATGATACTATTATTATTATTATTATTATAAACTATGGTACATAAGATTGTTGTTTTCACACTTGAGTGAACAATAGAAAAAAACCCTAGATGATGACCATAATTCATAGCCATCCATTTACCTTAGTTTTTCTTTTCAAATAAAACCAACAAGAATTTGAGGACCATAAGAAAAGAGGAGGAGAATCTTGTAATCAAAAAGTACTTGAAAACACACCACCTTTCTTTAAAAGAAAATGGTCCTCCCCTACTTACTACCTTCTTAGGTCCACTCTATCAACCTTCTTCTCTCTCTCTCACCCACATATACACACACACACACACATATATATATATATATATATATATATATGTGTAGTGACATATCCAAGAAATGAGGTGATCATAAGCACATCTAGGGATATCAAAAAGAATCCAAAGTCGAATAACCCACATGAATCAAATAAGGTTTGTGTTAGATAGTAACGGGCTATTCCAAAATCTTCAGTAAAACATCAATAACAGTGAAGAACACATAATTTGATGAAATTAGCAAACACTATAAAAGAAACGACAAACTTAGATATCAAAATCAACCAAAAACACTAGAATCGTAAGAGTTAGTGGAAGGGTACTCGCGCAATGCAGCGAGATAAATCTCAATTTTCATGTTTAGTTTTTATTCTTTGTCTCTATCGATATAATACGATTTTATGTGGTTTTGAGAAAGCGATAATATTTTTATTTTTGAATGAAATATAAATTTGAAAAAAAATAAATCGATTTTATTATCAAATTCATTTTTTGATGTAACTTCTTTAATTCATTTTTTTATTATAATTTAATAACAAAGTAATTTATTTTTGATTTAACAATATAATTTTTTATAAATATAATAATTAAACATTCTGTTAGAACTCGATGATTATCTTAATTATATTTTAGATTTTTTATATTTAAAATAGATGTTTATCATGTATTTGATTATGTTTATCTGTAGTTAGTTACACGAATTTAAAAATGAAGCTTTAATAAGTTATACTTACGCAAAATCACTTGTAATCTTAAATTTTAAATAATATGCATCAATAAACAGTATTTCATGCATAAAAAATAGTTTTTAAGAGTTTTTGTCAAATGTTTTATAATATATACTATATAAAACACTAAAAGAAGTGAGGTAGTTGCCTAGAGGTTGGACCATCAATAAAATTAAAGAAGGTTAGAGGCAACAACTGAAAATGATTATCTTGAATACGAAACTTACAGTTTAAAAAACAGCTCGATTTTTCTTTTCAGTTTTGGATGAAGACATGTGCCCCCTACCCCTAAAGGATGCAATCTGCCCATGCATGCATGCATGTATGCATGTATGTATGTATAATTATAATCATATAAGAAAAACTGGTCTTATAACATGTATATTAAATGTTTACGATTATAAACAAGGGTTAAATTTACATGATAACGGATTTTTAGACCCGTTTTTATATTAAACAAGGTACTTTCTTTATGTAAAAATAGCTATATTTTTTAATCTTTATCCATCAAGAATTTATTATGTATTTTGATGGTCAAGTTATAATGACTTTAATGATGCAAAAACAAAATACATTGCTATTTTAAGTAAAATAAATTCACTGACTAGAATGCTATTTTAATTATACTGATATCGTATGTATTTAGCTTGTAATCGTACAAACAATAAGACCACATGGGCATGAGTTAAAACTAGTACGGACCCAAAAAAAAACCCCGAAGAATTGAAATGAACCAGAACTGATTAGATTTAGTTGTAGACTCATAAAAACCGGTTTTAGTTCAGGTTTCACAGCCAAGACCTAATGTTTTAAATTTTTATTTACTTGTTGTGTAACCGCGCAATGCGGCGAGAGCCGTGAATTTTAACGATTTTGAAGTTTCACTGGTTTTATTAGAGAAGATTTAACGATGATATAAGTTACACTTGGTCTTTGCATACTAATACAATTTGAATAAATAAGAGTTATGGTTCCAATTACAGTCTATCGATGAAAAAAAAATTGTATGACGGTTTAAAATCCAATATATTTAAACGATTCCACAAATGTGTTCGATTTACACCAAGAGCAAAGAATCAAGAGATCGAGACTTAGAGTTCTAGAGCAATTGAATGAGATAACTTTTAATAACTCATAGTGAACATTAGTTTGAATCTCACCTTGAGGGATGAAGAAAAGATATAAAGGTATGAGAGGATGAAAGCATGAGTGAAATGTGTAAAAAGTATCTTGGGAACATGAAAAGAAAAAGGTAATGATGTACATTGGTAACTCATACTAAATGTTATTTTAATTGTAGATTAAGAGATTTTAAGATGAATGCATAAAGTAGTAGTACTTAATGCATTATGAGTTATTTTTAAGACTTTGTGCATAAATGTATAGTACTTTGTGCATTTAAAATTATTTTTAAGACTTTTGATAAATCTAGTTTATAAGATAGCATAGATTAAAACAAAATAAATGTAAGTTCGTATATTCATTTTTCTTCAGTTCAATCCGTTCCAAATTTGATGGACGTTCTTAAATTCATTCGTATCATCATTTTTGTATATCATATTTAGAATACATAAGAACCTGATTAAAGTCGACAATCTGTGTACAAAATTGATTAATAGGAAAAGGGAAAAAGAGTTAAAGACACTTAACATACACTTCTCTGTCTTACTGATAAGCACTTACTGATATCATTTGTCTTACTGATTGAGTATGATAATGACTAATAATCTTATTCGGTAAGAGACATAACAAGGAACGAGAGTCTTACACGTTAAGTGAGAAAATAAACTCTTACCTAGTAAGCGTTTATCGGGTTTAAAACGTTTACCAACAATTCATTTTAATAACCATGTTACATGATAAGATAAGTAACAGTAATTTCTTTTACCAATAAACACTTGGTTATAATCCAATTGACCTGTTGCGAATAAGTTATAATTCAAAGAGACTGTCTTTATATATAAAAAGGAAAATCTTGGGGTATTGACGAGATATTGTCGGGGATAAGGAGCAGAAATTGTATCAAACTTCTGATTTCTTGAAATAGTTAATATGTTAAAAACTTTTCCATCCCGAAATATAAATTATATATTTCATTATTTTTTATTCCAACTTTACATGTATATTGCAATTTATATTAATCACCGTTTATATTTTTACCACCTAACGATTGTCTCGCTAAAACCCGTTCTAACCATCGAGGGTATGAATTTTTGCTTACCGTTATTTGGTGTTGTATTGACTTTATACACTTTTTTTGTTGTCTTTAATATCGAAAATGGCTTGAAGAAAAAACAAAGGTTAAAGGTTCTTGGTTAATGGCTTAACAGTTATATAAGTTGACGATTCTTACCTGTTAAATGCCTACCAGATAAAATGTTACATACGATATCGTTTTAATGAACTAAAATCATACATGGATGGATCCAATGTAGAGCATACGGTGACCCGTGCGACTGTAAAAAATTCTAGGGTCATGATTGAAAAGTGTCACCATATTAATTTGTTGTGCGTCACCCCACACACACACACACACACATATATATATATATATATATATATATATATAAATTTAGTTCGTCCCTGAAACCATACATGGCAAGTTATATGAAAATATTGACTTTTACCGATAAACGTTTACCAGGTATACATCGAATAAACAACCCCTTAAAATTTTTGTTGCATTATTTTAAAGTATACCGTTGCTTATCATGGTAAAGTTTCAGTTTTTCCTTTTGTTGCATTATTTTAAAATATAAAAATTCGTTTTTTTATTTTTTATTTTCATTTTTCTGTTTAAAATTTTATTAATTTTAGTAAATAATTACTTTTATTAATATATATATATATATATATATATATATGAATTTACGGGTATAGTTGAGTTGTATGCAAATTCCAAAACGAAGATAACAAATTCAATCATTTTCCACCGTCTGATTAATTATATATGTATCGGTCGTTTATTCTCTCTCCTCAACGAGCTACTGTAGAGAGAGAGAGAGAGAGCTGTGAGAGATGGATACCAAGAGATGCAAAAGCATTGATGTGATGATTTCAGGGATGGACGGTTCAGAATCGCATGGCGGTGTGCGGCGGAGTAGAGGTACGGAGGTTACCACCTCCGGTTCCGGCAAGAGAAGAAGAAGATTTGATCCTCGAGATCAGGAGAGTGTTGAGCTGAAAATTCAGTGCCGAAGTGGAGTCGACGTGAATTTCATGGAGGATGTTGTTTCTTCGACGGAATCTGGCAGTTGTGATCGTGCTTTGTCGCCAAAGCAGGAATTGAGCTTAGATCTGAAGGTAAAATTCAAAATTCTCTAAATTTGCTTCTGCGTTTGATGCCTGTTTGTTCTTGTAAAAACTGGAGAGAGAAATAAATTCTCGTTTCTCCTTTTAAATATAATTCATTGCTATCAATTAATTGTATAGATGTTCAATTGCAGGCCGAGCTTCGTTTCGAAACCGAGACCTCCATGTCCAGCAATGACGATTTCAGGTTAGTTTATGAACGTTGCCACTCGTTGATTTTGTTTTGATCATTAATTTCAATTTCAAGTAACGTCTTCCGTTTCTGAAACTGAAAAGTAAATAAACGATTCAAAAATTTCTTGTTACTCTTTCATTATTATCTATATAAAAACTTCAACGCCATAACTAGTTCATTTCATGTTTCCATCATTTACAGTAGAGAGACGAGTTCATCAAGTGAGATTTGTTTAGATTCTGAATATATGGAGTCCTCATCAACGTTGAAAAACAAGACGGCAGCACCACAGGCAACTATTTCCCGTCCTAAACCAGCAACGGCATCAATTACTCCTATGGCGGCGGAGATTGAAGAGTTTTTCTCCGCAGCAGAAAAAAAAGATAAAGAACGATTCACGGACAAGTAAGTAGCTTAAGATAACATGCGCATGATAAGCGTTGTTAGCCACAACACCTCAACAGCTTAACTCCCATTCCCATATGCCCAATATAAAGTACATACAGTATTTTTGTTTCACTAATTATGTTGCTGATTGATCAGGTACAATTATGATATCGTGAACGACGTTCCAATGGAGGGTAGGTACCAGTGGGTTCGATTAAAGCCATAATTGTCCGATCAAGCAGGTGAAAACTCGGCTAAAGTGACCATATGAAGCATCCATCTTCTTCCTCTTCATTAACTGTTGTTAATAATTCTTGCAAGCATTTCCTTACCTTCACTAATTTGTCTATGTTACTTTTCTTAGGTTATGCCAGTGATACAGTTAAGGAAATCTTGTGTTCAGTCTATATGTATAGGCACATCAATTCCTAACTATATGTAAACGGGTTTTTATTTCCTTGATTTGTGTACTACGCCATTTGGAAGCTTCTTCTGCAACAAATATAACTATCGCTATTTACACACATCTATTAGTCCCCTCCTCTCTGGCCTGCACTACTGCTACACCACAGTGTCAGTAATTTTTGTGGGGTATATACATTTTTTGCATATGCAGATTATACATTGGGATTTGAGCCCACAATCCTTTAAACAATTGCCAGAAAATAACTTGTAACTTGAACTTAATTTAATGCTTCTTCTTGTCTTAATACATTTAAACTTAGTTTGACCTTGATTTGTTATTGCTGAATTATATTCATTCAGACCTCTTTTAAGATTTTGTTTATGTTGTTAGTGGGTAAGAAATGGTCATCTATAAAAGACTGGTGTATATGTAAAGTCTATTACCTTGATCATACTTCCCACATGAAAGCATATTTGCATATTATTATTCCATTTTGGAGAAGGGTCTTTAATTTGCATTTTGTCTCTTGGATCTCAATAACACATTGAGCATGTTGTTCTTTCTTCCTTGAGTCAAAAGATCATGTATAAAATATGATTATTGTACATATTTTAAGTCTTTCCGTTAGATGAACCCGATCTAGATATGGATGCGTGTGGTATGCAAATACAAATTAAGCATGATCCGGGTTCCAAAAGACGTGCAGCCATGTAGCATGCCATCATAACACAAGTTATGTTATCTTTTTTTTTTATTAACTTGAATATCCAACCCGTTATGCGAGCCGACTAATCCCAGGACGACCACCTGCGTTGTAAATAGCTCGGAGTCACCGCATTTGAACTTCGATGGCCACAAGGGGATTTTTATTCCTCCTTGGATTTGAACCTGAGACCTCCTGACTCCTGGTACTTTTGACCTTTGGAGTCAAACTCAAACCAATCAGACACCAACCTAATAGTTAGATATTTCATCTTAACTTCCATAGTGATTGTGTAAGGCGTGTGCCATGATGTTTTTAGTGTTTTTAAGGCTTTATTTAATTTTTATTTTTATTATTATTATGATCTCTTACATACCACTTTTTCTAAGCTTTATGCATATCAATTTTTTTATATGAATTTAAATTGTTCAATGTTATTGAGTATTAATAGGTCTCTCTCACACATACATATATATACATATATATACATATGTATACATATATATATATATACATATATGATTATATGTAATCTTGTTTTCTTAAGTTATACATTATAACCTTGTTGTAAGGTTTAAGTTTTGACCTCGTCGCCGTAACATGTCTTATGGCATTTAGAATCCTAGGTATATATAATGTACCTATATAATATTATGTGTTTTCCCTTGGAGATGAACGCTACGCAATTAAGTGTGTTGTCTTCATATGTGTCGATTGCAACGAGAGTTGATAGGTTTTGATGCGATGGCGCAAAAACTGGCTTTTCCTAACATCCTTATCGCACTTTTTGCGAACATGAGATTGATGCTTCTGTAGTACAAATGTCTTTATGAAAGTTAATCTAAGACTAGGATTAATTAGAATATCTATTAGTATATATCTGTTTCACGATATGATTGTTTCATATGTACTCTGTTTACAATATGAACTTTTTTGCGTGTTTGTGAACAAAAAAAAAACACGTAAAAAGTTTTACATTTGTAAAACAAATACATATTAAACAAACACATTAACAAATATATGTTAATCAATATATTAAATATTATATTTTGATAGGAAAAAAATTCATGTTAAACAAAACCTTAAGGTAGAAGTTCTCATGGATCTCACAAGTTTTGGAGTTCTCAAATGAGGCGAAAGATCGTGTGAAAATGAGAGTTAAATTGAGAAGCGTGAAAGAGATGTAGACCCTTGATCACCTTTAAATTTCAAACTCACACATGAACCACACTTGATTCACAATTTGATCTGGTGCATCTCATCCTAATGTGCATCCATGGGTGGAGATCTCTTCTTAAGTTTCTCATTTTAGCTTTCCTTCTCACCGTAACCCAACCCTCTCAAATGATATATTAATCCCCATATATACATGGTTGGGTTTCGATGAGAATGAGAGTTAAGGTGAGAAGCGTAAGAAATGGTCTACACCATTGGATGCACATTACGATGAGATGCACTAGATCATTCCCCGTATCAAACATAATTCATTGGTGAGTTTGAGATTAAAGGTGATCGGATCTAAATCTCTTCTTATATTTCTCATTTTAACTCTCCTTCTCACACGATCTTTCGTTTATGTATATAGACGACGGATCGTGTGAGAATAAGAGTTAAAATAAGAAACTTAAGAAGAAATATGGACCTTGATCACTTTTAGTCTCACCCCATTCCATGAATTGCACTTGATACGAGAATAGATCTGATGCATCCGGTGCATTTCTATTATTGTTGATCTTCAATTAAAATTTGACAAAAAAATTTGAGAAAACACTTCTTACCATTCTCACCATAATTTTCATTTTCACCGACATTCATGCTAACGCGCTCTCTCTCTCTCTCTCTCTCTCTCTATATATATATATATATATATATATATCACCGGTAGTCACATTTTGATTATACCTTGTTATTTCTCAGAATTTGACTTGACTAATAATTAGAACTTAATTACCACCATAAATGAGTAGTGACGTTGAAGATATGAATTGGAAACTCTTATGGTGGAAGCAACTCACTTCCCTTAGGATTCTTTTTCTTTTTGTTTGTTTCTAATTAAAAAGCAAATAAAATTTTAAACGTGAATCCGTGAGTTTCTTAATTAACCATTGTTAAATTTTTTTTTTTTTCCTTTTAAAGGCAAACCATTGTTAATTATTAACCTTACTTTGGTTAAAAATTTGTGTATCTATCTAATGAAACAACAAAATTAGCTGAATGGTCAACCTCACAATGACAAAGTCAATAAAACTTTTTCATTTTTTGGAATAATAAAAATGAATATTATTAACCATTTATACAATGTAATTAATAAATATAATTATTAGAAAAAATAAAATATGTAAAGTGAAAGGGGGACAAGGAGAAGAAGTGGATGCACGTGGAATGTGGTGTTTTGAGATGATGATGCTTTGGATCTGATGCCATATTATTTTAATATCGAGATCGCTGAAGCCAGAAAGAGAGAATGTTACTTTGCTTCTTCCTCAAACCAATCAATTTTTTTTATTTTTTAATTTAACATTTTTCTTTCTAAAATCATTTTCACACATATGATATGCATGTGATACTAAATTAGAGATGTGGGCGATTTTTGATGCGATCTTGGTTGCGGACCAAGTTGCCCTTTTGCCATTAAGCTTCTTCACAAGTATTATCACATGTGATAAAGTTGTTGTTGATAAGATACTATAATTCATCAAAACCATCACATATTAAATCATAGACGCAGACAACCTTTGACACGACCTAAGTCATAGAATAAATCGTCCGCACATGTCCCCTCACACGTATTATCACATGTGATAAGGGTATTCTTGCGTTCTCGTAAAATGGAAGTGTTCTCGTTTGAACCGCTACCTATGTATGTATGTATGTATGTATGTATGTATGTATGTATGTATGTATGTATGTATGTATGTATGTATGTATGTATGTATGTATGTATGTATGTAATAAGTACAACGAGAAGAAATAGAGATTGTGAGGTACAATAAGCTACAATTAATAAGTCAGTCATATAAATCTGATCAAAATTAAATGATAAATTAAATAATGATGTAAGATGATTAAAATATGTGTTGAGAAAATAATTAGTAGAATATAACAAAAGTAATTGAGGAAAAAAAATAGAAGATAATCTTTAACGTTGATTAAAATATTACTTTTAAAAATAAGTTCGGATGTGCTTCTGATATGACTTTTGAGATTATCTGATTATCTGCTTTTAAAACAATCAGGTTTAAACAAAAAAGTAATTATAAATATAAATATAAATGGACAAATGCATGACTACATATATACTTCTACGTTTACATGTAATACGGTCATCGACAACAATCGTCTTATGAATCGTTTAGAAGAAAACATATAAGTCATTGGTCTGTACATTTAACTTCCATTCAGAATCTCATTTCTACTACATCAGATCAAAAACCACCCCAAAATCGATGCACAGGTTGTCGTTAGCATGGCAATGTAAGGTGCTCATTGAATATTTCTAAATTGTTATAGTATTATACCCAGGGACGAATGTAGCCTTTGGTTAGTAGGTCCCATAAACCAACCAACTTGATATCTTATACTGTAAATATTTTAGTCGCTTAATGGTATAACTGTATATATTTTGCTGGTGAAATCATAAACCTAACCAGTAGTCCTAACTATTCAATGAGATGAGATTCAATTGATCTCGACTCTTTTTTTTTATTAACCTGGATATTCAACCCGTTATGTGAACCGACTAATCTCAGGGTGACCACCTGCTTTGCCATTAGCCCAGAGTCACCGCATTTGAACCTCCGTGGCCACAAGGGGATTTTTATTCCTCCTTAGATTTGAACCTGGGACCTCCAGGTACTTTTGACCTTTAAAACCAAGCTCAAACCAATTAGGCAACACCCTTATGGTTGATCTTGACTCTTTATGGTTAACTCTGTAGAGTTTAGAGTTAACTTGTTAATGTTAATTTGTTTATCCAATTGTTTGGAGATGGAAAGATTTCCTTAAAAGAAAACTATGATGTTGCATAGACTTGTAAGATCTGTCTTTTAAAGTATAATATATAGAAATATATATTAAATGAAGTATTTACTTCTTGGTACATATTTTTTATTTATATTTTACAATTATTTTATGTTATAGTACTTCTTTTTTGATACCATTAACAAAAATCCTGGATCATGACTTTTTGGTGGACTAAAATCTTACCCGGTAAGTAATAACAGTGTTGAGTTTTACTGGTAAGTGTTTGTGTAAAGCCCTAGAAAAAGTATATTGACATTTCTTCTTATATACATTTTTACAAGTTTATTTTACTTCTTTTAGATAAAAACATTTGATCAAACAATTATATATGATGTTGTGATTTTGTTAACAGATGAATATTTGATACTTCATAAAATCAAAATTTTGAAAATATGCAAGATTTAAACATGGACAATTTTGGATCGAGCATGGTGTTTGATACGTTTGATTTAAGATATCTCATATAATTTTGGATCCATGTTCCCTGTTGAGACGGGGACCAGTACTCGGGTCCCCGCCCCATCCCCATTCCTAGCCTACACAACATCCTCAAGTAATCGGTTCAACTAAAACCATTATTATACCTTTTACATAACTCAACAAGACTTACGGAGTACATAAACATTCATTGCCATGTTTTATCCAGTACTATCATCGAATTATTACTGTAATTAAATAAACTGTACTTTTTATAATCAATTGCGTTTGGGTGCTTTGATTGAAGAACCAGTAAAAAAAATGGTATATCAGAATTGCTTTTATAACTGTTCTAAAAAGGTTTTTGTTTTTGAAACCGTGTTTAAATGTTTGATTTTTGTTAATGGTACGTGAAAGTTCGATCATTTTAGTAATGATTTTTTAAATTCCACAACCAAATTATAAAATAAATTAAAGTTAATTACATTTTGATGTATTTTATTAAATTTAAAAGTAATGAATCTATCTTTAATTTTAACCAATTATGAGTTATTTAATTTTAATTTTTTTTAAAGTATGATAAGTAATATAATTCTGATAAAATTTCGAGAAATAAATAAATAATTTGGAAATCAAGTATTTGCATGTGGGTTTGGGTTTTGGGTTGCCGGGCATATCCTTTACAACCATGCTACCGTTTTTTCTACTTGTTCCCCCATTCTTATTACTTCTATAATCTATTCTATATTGTAAAGTATTTGACAAAAACTCTTAAAACTTATTTTTTATGCATAAAGTACTGTTTATTAATGTATATTACTTAAAACTCAAGATTGCAAGTAAATTGTGCGTAAGTACTACTTATTAAAGCTCCATATCTGAATYCGTGTAACTAACTGCAGATAAACATAATCAAATACATGATAAACAACTTATTTTAAATATAAAAAAATCTAAAATATAATTAGGATAATCATTGTGTTCTAACAGAATACTTAATTATTATCTTTATAAAATGTTGTATTATTAAACCAAAAATAGATTATTTCATTATTAAACTTAAATTAGATTATAATAAAAAAATAAATTAAAGAAATTATATAAAAAATGAGAACTTTTAAATAATTGATTTGATATTAACATTGATATATTTTTTTTTTTCAAATTTGTATGATATCTTCAAATTTATATTTTATTTAAAAATAAAATCATTATTGTTTTCTTAAAAACACATAAAATCGTATTATAACATCGACAAAGACAAAGAATAAAATAGAACATTAAAATCGAGATGTGTCTTGATGCATTGCGCAAGTACTTTTCTAGCATATGTGTGTGTGTGTGTGTGTGTGTGTATATATATATATATTATTAACCTGGATATCCAAATCACTATTTAAGTCGACTAATCCCAGAGCGATCAACCACTTCGTGGATAGTCTAGAGTCACCGCATTTGAACTTTCATGGTCATAAGGAGATTTTTATTTCTTTTTGGATTCGAACATGGTACCTCCGGTCACTTTTGACTTTCTGAGCCCAAATTCAAACCAATTGGACACTACCCTTATGGTTCAAAATTTTATATTTTAATTCAGTAAAATATTGTTTTAATGATTAGATTTTCATCCATCATATTTAAGTTACATTAAGGATTACTAAGCCAACATGGAATTTGACAAAAGTATTTATCACATATAATATTTAAATGACGAGAGACATATGACAATAAGGTCAAGCTTCAAGTCTTAGGAATCATAGTAAAGACACGACGTTTATAAGACGTAATTTATGCAATAAAATGGATATAACACACACACACACACACATATATATATATATATGTATATAATTGAATATTCATATACATATTTTTGTATTATAATCGATTAGTCATTGATACTGAACAATTTTAAATTAATTATATACCAAAAATTAAAATCTAACACTAAAAAGGTAAAAGAAAGTATATATCAAATAATGTCTTACAAAAACCGCTTTAGAGGATCATGAGAAGCGATGGGCTTCTTAACATACGTTATAGACAAACATCGAGATGTGGCATGCCATGATGGTGGCTGCAATTTTGAAAAAACTGATCGACATGTATATTTATATTTTTACAGTTGTATCATTCTGTATTAATTTTAATTAAATTATCTAATTTAAATATCAAGAAATTACGTATGTTTAAACCTTTTTTTTTTCAATTTTTCTTGTCTTTTTCATTTTTATTTTGATAAGATCGCCGATTTTTAGAATTTACCATTTAAAAATATTTGGTAACCAAATACATGTTTCTAAAAATAGTAACACAAAGGTGGTATCTGGTTGGTTTGGGCTTGGCTCCAAAGGTTAAAAGTATCAGGAAGTCTCAGGTTCAAATGCAAGGAGGAATAAAAATCCCCTTATGGTCATGGAGGTTCAAATGCAGTGATTCTGGACTATTTGCAAAGCAGGTGGTCGTTCTGGGATTAGTCGGCTCGCATAGCGGGTTGGATATCCAGGTTAATAAAAAAATAGTAACACAAGCAAAGTTGAATATGTTTTGGTTCTATGTAACTTCACTGTTCATGTAGGTTGTTCACATGTAGTATATTGTCGTGACATTTCTTATTACAATATTGTACTTTCAAAATTATTTTATTATAGCATCACCAGTATTTGTTACAACATTGTAATTTTAGTTTTATATTTTATTATTTAGACATTATACATTTAATCAAACAATTTACCTAAATTTAGTATTCGTTTCTAATCCAAACTCTTAGTTAAAAAATTAGTCTCTCAACATCGATATTATAGCAATGGATAACCTTTTGATTTGAATTAAAATGACATGACACAAGTGTCCAGACTTTCATGTCATGCCATTGTCTACATGGGACATCCACGTGTAAAATTTTGCTTACGTGACATTTCTTATTACAACATTATATTTTGAAAAAGAAAATGATTTTACATATTATTTAATAAATATATTAAATGAATTAGAAATTTTCTAAATTATTAATTAATATATCAATATTAAGAAAGCTAGTAAAACACAATCACCTCGCTAACATTTTTTTAAAAAAATATGTGTTTTTTGAAAAAATAAAATAAAATTTGTTAGATTTTACCAAAAAAATATTTAGCTTCTATGGAATATATAATACTTGTTTACAAAATTTTTGATATATAAATATATTAAATTAATTAGATGTTTTA